AGGAATTTGTCCCAGCGATCAGCAGAGCGGCGTGCGGGTACGTCATCAGCGCAAGGTAACAGCCTGGAAAACCGGCGCGCTGCCAGGGGCAAGGAGGGCCGAGCGGTGGGAAGCTCCGTGAGGTGGCACTCGTGGCTTTCCCCAGCCCTAGGCATCCCCGCTGAAAGGGCGACGACGTAGGATCCGTGCCGACCGCGGTGCTGACGGGAGAGACGCGTGCGGTCCGTTGGCGATTAACGTGGGCTACGCGTGCTTTTTGAGCCCCCCCCAGGGAGAGCCCTGGTGCCTTGGGATCAGACCCGGGTAGTCTTCGGGAGTCGCTCTATCCCAGAAGCGTGGGGAGCACGTGGACTCGGGGTTTGTCTTTGTTAATTAGCTTTTTTGCATCTTTGAGTCTCTCTGCTCTGAAATCGGAGATGAAATTGCAGCGTGTGTAGAGGGGGCGTGCCTGTGCGTGCATCGGCACAGAAGGAGAAACAGGTTTTATAAATACTTGCAGAAGGACAATGACGGGTGAAAGGCATCTTTCGGGAGACAGTTGTGGTTTATTTGTAGCATGAGCTAAAAAACCCCACCAAAACCTTATTTCTTTGTGATGTAGCTTGTTTGTGAAGGGAATTACATGCTGGTGAGGGAGCCTTTGAAAACAAGGGCTAAATTTGACAGTGAGGAAGCTCCTTCCGCTCCTGTTTTTTTGCAGAGCGAGTAGGAAGCTGGTACAGAGTTTGAACTTATAAAAAGGGCCCACGTGAATTCAAGGTATACCTACCTAGGTAAACTGTTAGGGCTTCCGCGTTGTAAAGGCAGAGGGGATTTAGCTGGGGCATCTGTGACAGATGCCCTGGCGTTTTTTCCTGCGCTCGTTTCCTGTCCGTGTCCTGCAACTAAACTGTCCAAGCCAGCTCTGGAGTCTGCCGTTTTCTGGTAGCTAAGTGAATTCTTCATACCTTCTCCATGTTGCGGCTTGAAGGCTTTTTCTTGTAAGAAAGTCTGTCCCTAGGGCTGGATAAAAAGGGTTATTTTTACTTCATCCAGGACTTCAGTTTTAAAACGGGGTAAAACAAGGCAAGGGAAGTCGAGCATTTATAGGTGCAAAGATATGTCTGGAATAATAGACATTTATTTAGGAGGATTTTGTGCCAAGTACTATTTCTAAGTAATCTACAGAACAGCTCTTTTCACATGCTTTTATTACAGAAACATATTGCTGAGAAACCATAAATAAAACAGCATTAATAGCTCACACAACAATCCATCCAGAGGAGCAGGAACAATTCATTGCAAAAAATCACAAGACTTATTATACTGGCTATTCTCTTGAGCACAGAGTAGGTTGACTGGTTGTTCTTCATTTTGCCTGCTTCCCATACTTTTTGATGCAATAGTTGCTCAAAAAGAAGCTTTGCACGTCTTAGCAGAGAGGCAACGATGTTTAACCAGGCCAACGGAGTAAGAAGCTAGGTAAAGTAATTTTATACCATAACCAGCCCATGTGTATAAATACAAAGGAGATTTTCCAAATTGTTGGGGCCTCCAGAAGGAAAAAAGTATCTAGGAGAATGATATGCACCTGAGAAGTTAAGCGATAGTCCTGTGGATGGAGGAGGACTTTATGTAACTATGAAGAAGAGCTTTTTCTGGGTATGAGACCGTTTGCCAGGTCGCAGCGCACCTCCCAGCGCAAGGCAGCTCTCTTTTTCTCAGTAGGCACTATGTAACTGTTGGGGACGTAGAAGTGCTGAGGCTTGCTTGGGAGGTCAGGCTTGTAGAGCATCTGTTCCCGAATGCCCCAGCGCAGTTCCTTCCGCTGATCCTCCCCTGGTATTCGGAACATCTCCCAGTCTCGCTTGTATTCAAAATACTTGGCTACGCGGTCAGTTTTCCCACGGTTACGGCCCAGTTGCTCTAACCTTGGAGGGATGAAAGACTTTGGCTGTCCCACCGCAGACGTGTCCTGCTGGGAAGAGGGAGAGCTCTGGCTCTGGAAGTCCCTAAGAAGAAAGGGGGGAGTCTGCCGGTGGCGAAAAAGTTCCGGGGAAGGCTCGTCGAGGAAACTGCTGTTTGACTCGATTTCCCCCTCGGAGATGCTGTCTTCCAGATGGGTGCTGAGGTGAAGCAGTTTCTGCTGCAGGTTCCAGACCTCGGGGTCGCTCTCGACACTGGTCTCTGGTTCGCTGGCGACCGACTCGTCAGAGATCTCTACTCCTCCGTCAGGTCTCCGCCTCAGCACTTTCCTTTTCATTACTAGCCTCCTGGTCCCTCTCGACGTCCCAGAGGATGGCACACAGGGCTCGGCCTGCTTGTGCCGTAACAGCATAGGAAGAGTGGGCCGGACCCCGGAAGCCACCGAGGCCTTGCTGTAGGGATCGTACTGGGGAAGCGCCCAGGCTCCTCTTCGGCTATCGCCATCTCCTTGCTCTGCGTACAGTTGGCTAAGAGCCAAAGCAGCCGCTCCTGCTAGCCGCTCTTCGTCGTTCAGGGCGGCCCATCTATACCTGTCAGGTCCCATCATTTCCTCCATGATATCTGCTGAGCTGGATCGACTCTGCAAAGATAAATTGCAGTTAATTTCTTTGGGTACATTTGAATTGGCTGAAGGCACATAAAGGAGGCTCTGTGAAGGCTAACCTCTGACTCTTGGCCACCGAGTAACTTCTCAAGTTCATGAGTGTTTATTTAGCTTCCAGTTACACAGATGGGGTCTCAAAGGATTGATTACACTGCTAACCTTACTGCCACTGAGAGAAGGCTGTTTCCATGCATCAAATACAAACACATCGCAGCTATAATGATCTTTGTGCCTTGAAGCCCCCTCTGATGTGACTTCTAAATTCCTGCATGAAACTGTACTAACAGGAATTACACTGTAGATGAAATACTAATGTGACGATGGATAAAAGTAAAGCACGTTCAGTTCACTCTTTGACTTTGTCAGTGTTGTGCAGATGTATTAATGTTTTTTCCCTTATGCAAACAAATATGCTCTTTTAAACAGAGGCACCTAGTTGTGATTACATCTAGGGACGTCCAAGAGGGTATTTTACTTCCACAGCTAAGGAAAAGGCTCCCTGCGGTATGTTTTTAGACATTTATTTAGATATCGGGCATCATAACCTAAGGGAAAGCTGTGGACTGCTTGAGTCTTGTGCTCTGCTGGTCCAGTTTATAGTAGGACTCAAGATCTGCAGGACACTGTTTCCATTCACTTCAAAGGTTTTGGATATCTTTATTCCGTTAAACGAGTCTGAAAATCCAAGTTTTAATTGTGTAGCAGTGATGCCATTATGAAACGTTAGAGCAGATGGTGCTGTAAGATGAATGACAGCTGTTAGCAGGCTGTCTGAAGTGTTGATGCTAGCTGAGCACATTGTGAAAATGGAAACTATTCCGTGACAGCTCTGTACAGATAGCAAAAGGCTAGCTGAAAATGTGCTATCACTGTGCCAGGGTTGACATAGTAGATCTGATGTTACAGCAGTAGCTGGAAGATTAGTGATTAGAAGTGCAAAAGGGGTTCGTTGCATGGAGCGAGGAAAAACCGTCCCAGCTAAACTCACTTGTCCGTGCCCATGTTCTGCTAGGACCACCAAGGGATGTTTTAGGAAAAAAAAAAAAGTTCTGCAGATCTATCAGCTTAATTCTTTTCTAGAGAAAGCCTGTAGCAAATGTGTAATAAAAGCCAAATAAAAACACAGAAACCCAGATTTCCTTCTTTCTCTGCAGACCTCAAGGAGCTCTCGGTAACTACGACTACGAGGAATCCACTCGCTATGGCAGACGAGACTGTGGTTGCTGATCAAGAAAGACTCCTGAAGAGGGTGCAGGACCTGGAAGAGGAAGTGAAGAGACTGCAGGAGAAACTCTTAGAGGGCAAGGAAGGTCCTAGCGTAAGAGATGCTCCTTCGGCGGCTGGGAAAGCCAGGAAACGCCAGCAACGGCCATTTGATTTTAGCGCCTACGGCCGCAGGCACGTGGCACTGAAGATCGCCTACCTGGGCTGGGGATACCAAGGTTTTGCCAGCCAGGAGAACACCAGCAACACTATTGAAGAGAAACTGTTTGAAGCGTTAAAGAAGACGCGGCTGGTAGATGACAGACAGACCTCCAACTATCATCGCTGTGGGCGGACGGACAAAGGAGTCAGTGCCTTTGGACAGGTCAGAATCCTCTTAGGCCATCTTGTTTTTCTGGATTTGTGGGCTCCAGCGAGGGTGGTGGAGCTTAGATGGAGATCCTGTGAGATTTCTGTACAACAGTGATGAACCCAATGCTAACTACAGGATAGTACAGGCTGGATATGTTTTTAAAAGCCTTCAGTTTTTTAGTAATCTGCAAGCAAACATGGTGATGGTTTCTTGCATGCAGAATGATAATTTAATAGAGACTTGCAGTGCTTATTAGTGTTGTTTTTTCAGGGCCTTGCTTTGAGAGGATGAAATACCCTTAAGGCTGCAGCTTCCTGAAATGGGACTAGCAATTAGAATAGCTTGGCGCTGCCAGAAAGGGGAGATGCTCCTTCCTCTGCGTATGCACTTGTTGCTTTTCCTGTGCTGACTGCAGCACTTGGCAGACCCCTCTGAGCTGACTTAACTCACTAACCCAGCAAAAATAATAATTGAATAGCTTCCTGCGGAGCGAGGAAGTTGAATTCCTGTACAGAAGGGTCTGAGGAGAGCCACAGTGAGCGGAAGGGAGTGTGGGAGTAGGAGCTGGAGGGAGGGGAGCAAGCCATCCCACTTGGTGGCAAGGAGCCATCGGACTGGCTCAGCTGTTTGCGAAAGCACAGCCTTCTTGCACTGCCGCAAGCCCTTTAAGGTGCCTTTGCTTTCAGGCCAGTCTTTCTCCCTCCTTCCCTCTCTTCTGTCTGTGGTCAGGAAACAGGCCTGGGTTAACTTGCGGCTTTGCTGAGTAGTTTTATCTTGGAACAGTTGTCCACTCTGGTTCACAACATGAAGCGCACAGTTTTCTGACCTAGTACAATGGCACAGACCACCTTTTCTAGTGCCATTTAAAGTGCTCATCCAAGTACAGTGTTAATGTCGCACTTATCGTTGAACTTGTTCCCACACCAGGTTTCCTGAACAATCAGACTGTTACTGGGTTCAAGTCATAATCCCCAGAAGAAAAAGCACATGCGTATCCTGCAAGCACTGATAAAAACTTAAGCCACTTAGAGACCATGCTATGTAGGCAGTTTGCAACTTCCTCTGTTTTATTAAAGGAATCTACAGCATCTGCTAGGAACCTTAGCAGAGGCGCTTAGAGCTTTACCCACAGGAAAAAATGGTAAGATAGACTCATTTAAGGCACCTTCATCTGTAAGAGATCCTGAATTTATTTCAAATTGGAAAGCAGAGGTGTAGGAAGAGAGTTGGTTTTACATGCTGAATAAGCCCATCCAAGGTATAATCCCATTTTTTCCAATTTTGCAGGTGATTTCCCTAGATCTCCGCTCAAACCTGTCAGAGGGCAAGAAACTAAATGGTCACCAGGGTGACTTGGAAGGCAAAGGCAGTAACTGTGAGGATGAGCTCCGCTACACCCATATTCTAAACAGGGTGCTCCCACCTGACATACGTGTGTTAGCCTGGGCCCCTGTAGAGCCTGACTTCAGCGCTAGATTCAGCTGTCTCAAGAGGACCTATCGCTACTTCTTCCCTTGTGCAGATCTGGATGTGGCCCTCATGCATGCTGCCGCTCAGAGATACGTGGGGACCCACGATTTCCGTAACTTGTGCAAAATGGACGTAGCCAATGGCGTAATCAACTTCCAAAGAACTATTCTTAGCGCACAAGTGACGTGGGTGGATAGGGGAGCAGAAACTGGGCTGCAGGACCCTTTCCGACTGTGCCAGTTTGAAGTGACAGGACTGGCGTTCCTGTATCACCAAGTCCGCTGTATGATGGCAATCCTCTTCCTCATTGGACAGAGGATGGAGAACCCAGAAATTATCGATGAGCTTCTGGATGTAGCGAAGAACCCCCGAAAACCACAGTACAGGTACGAATAGCTTAGACAAGCTCCCAGGCTGCTTCTCACAGTGCTTGAGCAGAAGAGAGACTGCTATGCATGAAGTGCTGCTGGCAAACTACTTATCTGTCAGCCTGTGAAGCAGTCTCTCACAATACGGAAGAAAACTGCCAGTGGCCTCTAAATGATATCCTGAAGGATCTCATTTACTTGCTACGTCTTTGTTCTTGGAAAAGTAAGCTCTAAGTTATTGATGCTTTCACTCCTTGGGGCGTGGTGAAACTAACCCTATGAACAACACTTAAGTTTTTATCAGAAAAGGGCTTCTGTACATGACAGCCCTGTTTTTAGCAGAAAGGACAAAGACTGACATAGCGTTGTTAGCCTGGACCTGCGTTAATCCACTGTAAGCGTTCTCTATCACAGCATCTTTGCTCTAGCAGGGCTCCTGCTGTCCGAGCATCTTTAGATAATGCCTTCTCTCCTTTTTCTAGCATGGCAGTAGAGTTTCCCCTGGTTCTGTATGACTGTGAGTTTGAGAACATTCAGTGGCTCTATGACCGAGAAGTGCAGGAGTTCAATGTTACGCACCTACAGCAGCTTTGGGCCAACCACGCGGTCAAAACTCAAGTGTTACGTGACATGTTACGAGGCCTAGATGCTGCTCCTGTGGCTACTGAAAAAGGTAAGGAATGGTTTTGTGGCAATACCTACCTCAAGAGTTACACAAGGCAAGGGCTAATTTGTTTAAAGAAAAGAAGGGAGAGGGGTAATCATCAAATAGGTTGTTCAAACCATTGCTATTTCTTCATTTAAGTTACAGGCCCAGGAAACCTCAGTACTGTCCTCTGGGGAGATATGAAACCTCCAGTCCATAATCAGGTCAGCAGCTTTGTTGAAGGAGTCAAAGCTCGCACTTACAAGCCTTTACTGGACCGCCCCAAGTGCGAGGGCTTGGAGTCCCGCATCCATCACTTTGTGCAGAGGGGACGCATCGAAATGCCACAGGGCAGGTAAAGAGAGACCGGAGCGGACCCAGAGCCTAAGAGAAGCCACGGCGATGCCACAGAGAACGGCGATAGCACTGAGCAAGCTCCCAAGCGGGTCTGCGTAGACACCGAGTGATGACAGCAGGTTTCCACGGG